GGGAAGCTGCTGCAGTCCACCATCCTCGACGCCAAGGACGAGCTCGAGGAGGTAGGTGCGGCCCTGCCTCAGTTTCCCCGGGCTGGGGGGTCGTCTCCACCCCCTGCCTCAGTTTCCCTATTGGAGGAGCAAGAGGGTCCTCCTGGTGGACTTGTCTCCATCCCCTGCCTCAGTTTCCCTGCGGGGGGAGGGTCAGCCTGGTGCGTGGGCAGAGCTCAGGGGGGTCGTCTCTGCCCCTGCCTCAGTTTCCCCCGTGGAGGGGGCGTGCGGGGCTGAGCCAGGGAGAAGGAGCAGGGGTCCGGGGCCGGATCCTGGCGTTCGGCTACAGCAGCTCGGCCGAGCCTCGGGGCCTTGGACGTGTGGCCTGTGGCTCCTCACAGCCTCTCTCCGTGCCACGCCTGGGTGCCCGCCCAGGGGCCATCGCTGAAGACCGCCTGCGTGAAGCTGTAGGCAGGCAAAGGAGTGTCACTTCAGACCCCACATGAGCCGCCCCCTTGCACCAGTGCCCACGTGCCCCTCCGCAGGCTGGAGCTGCCCCAACCCAGGGACGGACGCGTTTGGGGGCTCTCGGCTGCGGCGGGGGGGGTTGGCAACAGAGGAAAGCAGGAGGCGGGAGAGGAGTGACCTGTTCTCGGGCCGGTCCCCTGGCGCTGGGCGCTGTCCTGTGCCACCAAGAGCAGGAGCCAAGTTCGCCTGGGCACGGGGCTGCCCGAGGTCCTCTCGCTCGGGAAGCATCAGAAACTGGAAGAGAACCCCGGAGCCGTGACACGCTGCGCTCGGCGTCAGTCCTCGGGCAGTCGCTTCTCGCACGTTTGTGCATTTTAAGTCATGGACGCGTTTTTGAAACCGCCGTCATCGACTTCATCTTCAATCCATGTTGGGACATGGGTTCAGACGGTGCTTGGCCACCCCCCTCCCGCTTTCCCCAGCCGCTCAGAGCACTCTGCCGGCCTGTTTTCCCATTTGCGTTTGCACTCCTGCATGTGAGACCTGTACAAACAGGAAGCGGGAGATCCAGGGGAAAGGGGACTGCGTGCACGGCCTGTTGAGTGACCAGAGTATGGGCTTCTCGGCTTGCAAGGAATTTCTTTCCCAGTCTTCGCTGTTAACCAAGTACAGGCGAGGATGAGAGCTGGGCAGCCCGGCTGTGTCCCTTCGGAATATGTTGTGTCCAGTGTGAGAAACCAAAACTCCCCTGGTGAGCTTGCAGTGTGCAGGCCTCTGGTCAAGAAGATGCACTTGTCTTTGGGCAGGTCACTTGGAAGCAGAGGTCAGGCTGGGAAGAGAGTGGCTTCCCTCACAGCTGCCATGCAGGGTGGTTCAGCTGGTGTTTCAGATGGCTGCGGGTTTTTGTATCTGAATGTCCCTCCCTGCAAAGAGTCGAACAGGAGGAACCTGCTAACTCCATTCTGGGAGAGAGAGTGGGGTTGTTCATCACCAGGAAAATTAATGTATGTTCCCACACATGCGTGCAAGTGCTGACACGCTAGTGGGCCCACAGGTGCACGAACATGCATGCAGTTCACATGCGGTCAGGCACACTGGTGCTCACACTCAGGCAGGCCCATGGGTATGCATGCAGCTCACATGTGGGCAGACCTGCAGATACGGCGCACCAGTGCTTTCACATGGGCAGGCCCACAGGCACATGGAGTGTGTGTGTGTGTGTGTGCACGCGCAGTTCCTTCTGCTGACAAAAAATGACTGTTCTCATTCCCATCCTGCAGCTGCTCTTCCATATACCCTTGGTGCTCCATCACGACAGAGCCACAGTGCATGTGTAGATTAACTGTGGGTTCGGGCCATAAAGTAGAACCGAGGCCACATTCTTGGATTGCCCCCCTAGTGTTAGGTGTGTGTGCGAGAAATGGCTCTCCGGGAGCTAAAACAGTCTCTAGGACTAGTGGTAGATTTTAGCATCCTTAGGAAAGCTGTGGTCATGTCAGCTGACCCACAGTGCATGGAATTATTCTTCCTTTCCATGTAAGTGCCTCTGTCAGCCCAAGAACTCATGGCCTTGTGAATATACGCCAGTAACTCCTATGAGCCCTGGTGAGCAGGCATCTGGGTCACCTCTGACAGCTCCCCCTGACTGGGATCTGGCACGGCTATGGGAGCAGGATGGGGCCTGCTGATTTGTCCCAGGTGAAGCAACTGGCTGCTGGTGGTTGTCAAGTGTCTTGACTCTTCAGCAGCAGTAGAAAAGGGGGAGTTGTTTCATCTGGGGCTTTGGCTCCTGTGGCATTTGTGGCACTTGGATCAGGCTGAGCTTAGCTGCAGCCCTGGGGTCATGTCTCCCTGGGCAGGGCATCACTTAGCCTGGCTTTTTGCCACAAGTTGCAGACCATGTAAATGAGCCCAGAATTAACCAGGAGCGCTGTGGGGGCTTTACACCCTGGCTGTGGCTGCAGGGACAAACTGGCAGACACATTCCCCCATGTGGCACCAGGGTGGAAGCAGTGGGGGTGCAGGCTGGGCTGGGCCTCGGGCTGTCATCCTGTGGCTCTGCCTTGTTCTGAGTTGGTTTTGGTGCCATGAGGGGGTGCCTGAGCCTGCGAGCCCCGTAGCGCGCACATGGCTGTTCTGGCTGGGCACTGGGTCTGAATTTGCCATGGGAGACGGACCTGGTGCCAGGCTCTGAATGCAGCATGTCCTCTCCTTGTTGCAGTGCTTGCACTCAGCTTTGTTTCTTGTGCTTGTCCCCTATAGAGCCAGAGTTGTTAGGTGTTGTTCTGGGGAGGCAATTAGATTGCAGACATGCAGCTACAGAGGATCCCTCAAGCCCCTCTGGGGTTGAGAGGAGGCTTTGGCCACCTGCCTTCTAGATTTCTCCCAGCTGTGGCCAGGTGGGTTTCATCCTGCCAATTTGGAGCACATGGTCAGGAGCAGTCTGAGGAGCTGCCTGGGTTGGGGCTCTTCTTCAGTACTCCAGAGCGGGTCCCAGATGGCATGTTAATGTGGAGCAGGAGCCTGGCCAAACAGAGTTCTCCCCTTCGTTTACCAGTCTTGGTTCTTGATGCTGCTCGTGATGGCACAGAGCAGACATTTAGAAGAGGGAGCCAGGGGGCATTAAGCTTGGCAGGTATTCAGGCTTGTCGTGTTTGCCCTGCAGTGGATACCCTGAGTGGCTGTGGGAGACCCCCTGGGGGCACACGGGGTGAGAGGGGGTGTTAGCCAGTATTCCTACACCAGCGTGCAGGAGCTGTTGGGACAGGGGTACCAGTCCCGGCATCACAGCCCCTTTCTTGAGCTTCCACAGTGCTGATGGAGCAACCAGGTGTTGGCTTGCTTGGCAGCTCTGCCCTGGCTGAGCTGGCTTGACATCCAGAGGATGGGAGCAGCAGCTGCCCCCGCAACCTGCCACAGCTGTACTGGGTCAGTCGCACGAACTGGAAGCTGTCACCCGGGCATGGCCTTGCTCGTGATCAGGGCTGCGCAAGTGCTGGCTCTGTGCAGCTCCTGCAATCCCTTCTGTACTGGAGATGCCAGCCCAGACACAATTGCTCCTGCTGTTTGCTTTCATCAGAAGCTTCTCTGAAGCTATGAAGGAATCGGAGCAGAGGGCATCCGCTCCTGGGTGGGCAGCTCAGCGCCTTGCCAGCACAGTGCCCACCTGCATTTGGAGGCAGGGGCTTCTGCTTGCAGCCTGATCACCTACATGTGCCAGCTCCAGCCTCACGGCATCAGAGTGGGCTGGGGCCAGTTAGTCACTGAGGCAGAATGTACCTGTGTCCCAGCTGGCAGGTCCAGGGAGCACGGGTCACTGCAGCTCCAGCTCTGCTCTCATAACGGGGATTAACTTCCCCGGTTCTGTCTGACTGTTGTGCAAGGCTTCCTGGATCCAAGGGATGGTTGAGTGATGCTCTGCCCAGAACATCAGCATAGGGCTTAAAGCAAACTTGGGAATAAGGAAGGAGCTCTGAGGCAGTCACTTTTCCAGCCAGCGGGTGGTTCTGGGGCCTGGACACCTGACTTTCATACCACGCTGGCTTTTACTTTGCTCCCATCACCACAGCACAGGCCGTATCCCAAGCATAGTCAGTACTTCCCTTGGCAGCATCTCCTATCAGCCTTCCCCCAGCAGCGGGGAACAACCCGGATTTTAGATGCTGATCAGAGCTCTGCTTGTGGGCCCACCTGCATACATGTCCAAGGAGCCTAGCAGTGGTGGCTGGGAAGTCACCTTCCCTACCGGGGTCTCAAATTTGGCTCCCGGAACCGCTTGTGGGGACATTGTGGCCTGAATATGCTGTTTCTGGCCTGGCAGGTTGGGTAGCAGGGGAGATGGGTGTCGAGGGCCACATTCCCGCTTGCTGATGCGTCAATCCGTTTGGTCTGTTTCAGAGACTAGAAAGATGCGTTGGCATCCTGACTTCACTGACCAGTGGGCTGTCGGAGAGAGAAGCCAACGATGCCTTGAACGCGCACGTAAGTGCTAGGGCCTCAAGGGAAGGGGTAACCTGGGCAAGGAGAAGGGACTCCCTCCTGGAGAAAACAGGCATGTGGGCCATCAACCAGCAGTGGGAGCTGGAAGGGCCTAGGCACTGATCAGAGGTTTCCTGTAGTCCATTAAAACAAACAGATTAAGCCCCCTTGTCTAGTAAAACCCCCTGAAAACCAGTGCTCAGTGTGGACTGGACACTGCCCCTTCTGTGTCCTCCGAACTTCTCGTCCCAGAGCCCCGTGGGCACGTTCACTATCGTGGCATTGGCCTGGCTCTCGGGAGGCATTGAAGCATTTTCTGACCGGAGCACTAGAACTGAGGAGGGTCTGTGCGAGACACCTGCATGGAGCCCCATGGCCTCTGCAGGCTGGTGCAGCCTCTGGGCTCTCTTGCTGCTCTGTGGCGGGGGTCCCTGTGGGTGGCTGATCCCTAGTGCTGAGCCTCCCTGTTCTGACCCTGCCAGAGCATTGGTGCTAAGGTCATCAGTGAAGGTCTCCCTGGGTACTGCAGGGGTTGCTCATCCGTGCTGCTTCCTTCCCCCTCCCAGGTGTGTAAAGGCCCTCCTCAGCACGAGGAGATCTGCCTGGGCCTCTTCACCCTGGTCCTCACTGAGCCCACGCAGGCGCAGAAGGTAAGGCCAGTGACCTGCTCATCTGGGGCAGCTGTATTCGCTGCCTTCCACTTCCCAGGTGGGCATTTCTCAGACCTCCCCTGGTAGTGAGGTCTGAAGACCTCAGCCTGGTGAGCCTGGCTGCTCATACAGGGGAGACAGCTGCATCAGGTTGTGGTCGGGTTCCCAGGTACAAAAAAGGCTCGGCCTTGCCAGTGCCAGTCCTGGCTTTGTGCCAGTTCCCTGCTTGGCCATGACCTTTGGGAGCCCAAGGGTTAACGTATTTGCAGGGGGCAAGGCGAGTGGATGTTGATTTCTCAACTGCAGGGAGGGCTGCTGCTGCGGGGTCGTGTGCTGGCTGGCCAGATGTGATGCTCACAGAAAGAATTACAGAAAACACATTCCGTTCACAAGCAAAATAACACTGGGCTTCCCCTCCTCCCTCCCTCCTCCCCTGTCACTCTGGAGGCTGGATTTCATTTTTAAGCATGTCTTTCTCGCTTAATAATGCTGAAAATTGCAGTTAAGTTTCTGCTTGGTCTCCTACATGGAAGCAGCATCTGCATCCCCAAAGTTCATTATTGTTCTCTAATGTCGCAGCTGTGGGGCTGGGGCTGGCTCCGAAGACCAGAGCTTTCAGGGGAAAGAACAGAGCAGTTTGTTCTCCAGGATGTGGCAGATAGATAGAAGGGGCCTGGGGAGGGGGTTTGCTCTGCCCTGCACGTTCCTTTAGATGCAGGTTGCACAGCTCATAGGGGCACCAGCTCTGGCCTTCCTTGTGCTGCCAGCCCCCTTTGCTGCTGCAGGCTGGCTTCTGACCTACCTAGGAGTGCCACCACACATCCAGAAATAAGTCCCCTGGCAGAGTGTGCCACTGTCACTCCTCTCTGGATTGTGACATGAGGACAGGGCTGTGCGGCCAGCCCCCAAAGCAAGCAGGGTGTGAAGGGTCTTTGTGGGAGCCTACACCTCTAGAGAGGCAGCACAGAGCAAGGAGAGCCCTTGGAACAAGGCAGCTCATGAGGGCATGGCAGAGCCCCCGGCTGCGGGGGATGTGCTGCAGATCCTGGCACAGCACTGGGCTGGGGCCAGGTTAACTCATGCTGGAAGGGCAGAGCTCCAGTCGAGCAGTGGATCTGGGGGAGCGGCTGCGGTCAGAGCCGGCTGGAGGCCATGAATTTGGGCGGCATCTCCTGGAAGGCTCTGGCTGTGCCTCTCCTGCCGAGCAGACCAGCCAGCAGAAATTAATTCCCTGATTTGTGGTCCCCCTGCTCACTGATACAGGTTCCCGCTCAGCCTGGGCCTGGGCTGTTCTGCCTCTCACAGTTATCCTGAGCTCTCCCGAACCCAAACACCAGGGTTCCTGGTGCTGGTACCATCCAGATGTAGCCCAGGTCTCTCGCAGTGTTGGTGGAGGTGACAGAGCCTCCTATCACAGGAGATCCCTTCAGGAGCCTCCTTGGCCCTTTGCTGCCCAACCATAATGAAAGGTCACTCTCTCGCAGCCCCCACTTCCCCGGAGCCTGGGCTGTGTCCCCAGCTGCCTTGCGGCAAGGGACAGAGCAAAGCCAGCCCCCCAGCTCTCCTGGGACTGTCTTCTCGGCAGGTTCCTTTGTCGGCGTGGGTGGGGGAAAGCTGTGTACCTGGAGCTGCCTGGCTGAGCCCTGCTTGGGGCCCTGCTAATGAGGCACGTGGCTGGCTCCCTGCTCTTGTCGGCTCAGCTCTTCAAAGCTTGCTGCATTTCTTGGGAGTAATTGGCCCTGCTGCTTTGACGAGCTGCTTTGGTCGCCCTTGGTTACTGCCTTTCCTCCCCCCCACTTGTCCCCACATGGCAGCAGGAGACGCAGGGCTGCTCTTCTTGTGGCTGTGCTGGTGCCTTGCAGCTGGGCCTGGGGCAAGCTGCTCCCTCCCCCTGCTCCCCCTTTCCCTGCCTGACCAAGGGGATAGCAATGCTCACAGGGCTCTCTGTGAATGACCCCGAGCTGGCTGGACTGCAGGGCTGAGGGGTTCCCATCGCAGGTGCAGTGTATGTGCCAGCAGGGGGCAGGGGCTGGGGTGAGTGGCGTGAGGCCTGGTTTGGGTCGGGCGCTTGCTAAAGGATAATGGGGGTCCCCAAGGGCTGCGGCATTCTGTCCCCAATGTCATGCAACTTCGGGGCCTGGGGGGGGGCCTCAGGGGTTGCCTCTTCCTCCCCTTTGTAAAGGCACCAACTTGCCGTTGGGCAGTCATGCTCACAGCTCTGCCGTCTGTCTCCCTGCAGCGAACCGAACCTTCCTCTGTGCTGCATCTACACTGGGCTGACCACAGACCCCTTGTCCCAGGGACTGCTCCCCGCAGCCAGGCCAGAAGCCCCCACTGCTGGGGCTCAAACTGCCACTGGCACCTGCGCAGGGAAGGAAGGCGCTTGAGCATAGCCACCTCCTTGCGGGGGATCAGCTGAGAGATGCGCTCCCCTCCACCCCCTTGTTGCCTTGACCCGGGAGCCAGGAGAGATTAGCTGAGCTACATGTGCCCAGCTGGGAGCAGGGAGGCTGACGTGCAGATATTGTGGCAGTGGAGAGGGCAGGCACTGCCTCCCCCACCCTCTCACTTTAATCAATGCCCTGCTCTGGGGCCAAGGGAGTGCCAGCCGCCCCGGAACAATCCCCCCATTTCACATGCCCGCTCCACCACCCAACTGAACCGCAGGGAGGCCGTGCTCCCTCCCGCGCCGGCTGATTTATCTCGTTAAATGGCCCATCCATCAGCCTGATCCTTCCTGTTAATTAAATGGCCTGCGTGAGGGGCAGCCTGGACCTGCAGGGAGGAGATGATGGATTGCTTGTATCCTCCAGAGTCATCAACAAAGTTGAGTCCCTTCCCGCCCCCTTCGTGCTGGGGCCAGGAGTTTTTACCCTGAGGCTCCCATCCAGTGGCCAAGGACAGGTAGAGGGGAGGTGGGATTACTGTGAATGACGATGCCTGGTGTCCCGTGAGCTCAAAGCCAGCTCTGAGATGCTGAAGCACTTGTCCCTGCCCCCAAACCGCCCGGCTCTTGGGGAGGGAGGAGGGGAAATGACAATTGGTCTCGTTTTGGAACTTTCCCAGTGTCCTTCCCCATCATGCTGAAAGATTGGGCAGGATACCAGTCCAACCGGTCCCCCTCTATGAGGACTGCTGGTCGCCTGGGTCACAAGCAGCCTCTGCCCAGCCTACCATACCATTGGTGTGTCTTGTGCCAGTGGTCTGCCCCCAGGCTTTTGGCCTGCTGCTGCCAGAGAGCAGGAAGGCTCCGGGCTGTGGCCATTCTGTAGGGGTCAGAGGGCAGCTGCCGGTCAGTCCCCTGTGGGCTTCTCCTCAAGCAGCTCCCAAAACCCCCCAGGAGAGCTCTGCACTGTCCCTGGGTTGGACCACAAGTCCCCACAGCCTCTTGGCCCTCATTAGCATTTCAGACAACAGTGAAAGGCCAGACAGAGCCTCCGCCTACCAGGCACTGTTTGCATCAGGTATCTGAAGGTAGGGAGCTACATCAAAGGGACAGTTCAGGGCCTCATTAGCTCTCTGGAGGAGGGTGGAGATGGATCCCTGCTCTCTGGAAGAGCCTGGCTATTAGCAGTGCAAATTAACACCCATGCAGAAGGATCTGGCAATGACTTCTCCTGGGCTCCCCTCTGCCTCCTGCCAGGCCAGCCAGGGCACAGGGAGCTTCTCAGGGCTCTGGCTGGAGTGTGGCTGGCTGCTGGCAAGGGTCCTTGTTGCCCCCTCTCCACTGCACAGAGCCTTCCTTGGGCGAGCCGCAGTCTGAGCTGGATGTAGGGCTCTGGGCATCATCAGGGCTGGAAGTGGAACGAGGTTGATCTTTGCAGCTGCCTCCAGGAGTGGAGCAGCAGGGGGGCAGCCCCTGTGCTGCTGCCTTCAGTGCATCCACGTGCAGTGCGTAGCTAGGGATGCGATCCTGCTGTTACAGAGCAGCTCCAAGCCATGTGCTCAGTGCAGCAATCCCCAGTTGTTCTCGGTGCACAGCGGGAGCCCCTGGGAATGGGGAAGTAGCTGCTTGTTAGCATAGACCTTGTGTACTGCCCCTTCTTACCCCCCTCCCATGTAGCAGTGCAGGATTGTGGGGGCTGGGCCCAGCACCCCATTTCTGCTCTGGGTTGTCCAGGGGATGTAGAAGCCCATCCAGCTGCCCTGGCTGCAACCTTCCTAGACCCAGAGGCCTTTTGCCTCCAAGGCAGCTGGTCCAGCACTTCCATCCATGTCTGAAGTGCAGCCCCAAAAATTGACTGTGGCTGGGCCAGGTCTGAGCAGGACAGCATGCTTCCTGTTGGGCCCTGACTCCCCAAAAGAGCTCTGCCTTGACTGGTTGTGTGACCCTGTGCCACAGTGCTACCGGGACCTGGCTCTGGTGAGCAGAGATGGCATGAACATTGTCCTGAACAAGATCAACCAGATCCTCATGGAGAAGTACTTGAAGCTGCAGGACACCTGCCGGACGCAGGTGAGCAAACAGGGCTTAGCCTGGCAGTGGAGCCCTGCCAAGAGCTGGAGGGGACTGCATCCGGGGGGCTGGGGGTTGCAAACAAGGCTAGGACCTAGGCTGGGAGGGGGGTTTGTGGGGGCAGCATCAGCAGGACTTGCTCAGCATCCGTCCTGGGTAGCGCACCCCATCTGTGATGGGAGCAGCACTTCTCACCCACAAGGGGAGTCTCCAGGGTTGTGGGCATCTCAGGCAGGGCCAGGGTCTGTTTTGGGCCTCACCCCTTGTCTCTCGTGCACTCTGCCCCTCTCCCATCCAGCTGGTGTGGCTGCTGCGGGAGCTGGTGAAGGGTGGCGTGCTCGGTGCCGATGGTGTCTGCATGACCTTCATGAAGCAGATAGCAGGTGAGTGCTGCCCCAATGGGCCTTGGCCCTTTGCTCTGTGCACACCCCGGGCCCCTCTGACTGCAGCAGCACAGAGCCCAGAGCCATCCTTGAGGTTCAATCCAGCCCCACCTCGCCTCTGTCCCAGGTGGGAAGAAGTGGGGGCCCGGGACTGGTGGATCCATGCTCTCTCCCCCTTGTGTTGCATCCTCAGTGACTGCATTGAGCTGTGGCAGGGCTGTGCTGGAAGGCCCAGCCAACCAGGCCTCTTGGGGAAGGTGGGCTAGTGGGGAGGACTCAACCCATTCAGTGCCAGGGAAGCAGCTGGTACAGTGGGAAGGCACTTGGGCAGCACCTGGCCGCACAGCAATGCTCAAATACTTTCCGCAGCTTCAGTGCACCTGGCCCCTTCATGCCCTTCAGGCTGCAGGAGCAACGCTGCCTCCTTCCCTGTGTCCCGTGCTGGTGCCAGGGCCAGGCACTGACGTCCGTGGTGGAGAAATCTGCCTCGCACCATCAAACCTGACATTTCGTTTTATTGCCATGCGGTGACAGAGGCTGGCTGGCTGCAAATGGGAGCTGGCACCTCTGTTCCCAGGGGGCATCCTGGCCTGAGGCATGGGAATGAGCCAGTCTGCCCCCTCCTCAGTCTGCATGGGGTCAGCTCACAATAGTGTGAAAGCCCTTGGCAGGTACATGACTGCTTTTCCTCAGCCGCAGCTCCCTGGGCTGGGCCCCTGCTGCAGCCTTGCTCGGCTCTGTTTTATGAGGCCTGATCACAACACCTATCGCAGTGGCTTGCGTGCCCCTTCTAGTCAGGCCCCGGATCTACCCTCAGGTTCCCAGTGCCCCTAGTAGAGATCTCCTGCTTCAAGCAACTACAGACCTGTTATGGAGCCCAGCTAAGGCTCTCGGCACCTGCAGGGAGCCTTTTTATTGAAGCTGTCCAAGTGCTTTGGAGTGAAGCCTTGCAGATCCAAGGCAGTGCTCCCAATCTAACAGGTACTGGGGGGGGGGGGGCGCGGGGCAGGTGGACC